GACAGACCTCCCCCCGCCTGACGGCTCCCCATAGCCAGTCAAGGACCCGCAGCCCCCAGACACAGGGACACCCCCCCCTCGGAGGACGGACAGACACAGGCTAGCCTCAGCCAAAGAACCCCAGACCCGATCGCCCGAAGCTGGGGGCTGCCGGCCCTCGGGCTCCCCCCTTCCGGCTCTCACAGGTGGGTGCTGGCGCTGGGTCTCCGCTCACTCGCTCCCCAGGCGCGGCTAGGGTGACCAGACAGCAAGTGTGAAAAATCGGGACAGGGGGTGGGGGGTAATAGGACCCTATATAAGAAAAAGACCCAAACATCGGGACTGTCCCTATAAAATCGGGACATCTGGTCACCCTAGGCGTGGCTGGGCTGTGGGGCTGGGACAGGAGGGAGCAGGCCCCCATGGCTGTCATGGGAGGGGATGGGAGAGTTCTGGGCCAGGGACCGCTCTGGCACCCCTCCTAGCACCCACTGCCCAGCCAGGATGAGCTTCCCAGCATCAGCCCCTCCCCAGGCCGGAAACGCCCAGGGAGAAGCCCTGATCTATGAGAACCGACAGCCCAGAGACCCCCCTTCTCTGGGGGGGCCCCTCCCAGGGGCTGAGCCCTCACTCTCCCCTGTCCCCACATGCAGCCCCTGCTCCTGCCCCATCTGCTCAGGGACAGAACTATGTCCCCAGCCCCAGATGGGGCCCCCACCTAGGCGGGGCGGATGGCATGTGGCGGGAAGGGGAATCCAGTGCAGCCCAGAGCCACCACCCCTTCCCCGGCCATTCCCAGGGAATGGGGCCCCAGCAGGGCAAAGCCATTGCTCACTGCTGCTGCCCATTCCCAGCCCTGGCTCGTGGATGGGGGGAGGAGGGAGCAGGAGCTGAGCCATGCAAGATGTTCCAAGCCTGGGTATGTCAGGGCAGCCTGGGAGCCCCCTTCAGCTCAGCCTCCTGCTCACGGGTGTGACTCTCCCTAGTGCCTTTTTCTTTGCAGGGGCCACGCAGCCCCTGACAAGCTGTACACAGGGATCCCCACACCTGCCAGGGAAATGCAGCTACCTCCGGGGTGGCGCGCAGCTGGTGTTTAACCGCTGTGCAGCCGGTGAGGAGGGGAAGTGAAAGACACTGTGCCCAGTTGAAGTTGTAGGGTGGGACGGATTTGAAGTTGGTGGAATTTAGCCCAATAAGGAAATTCAAGGGAAGGACAGGCAGGTTTCATAACCAAGCAGAGACCTCTCCGAGATGGCTCCACCTTCGGAAGATCCCCCGTGCAGGGCCCCGCCAGCAGGGCAAGCCTGGCCTGTGCTCCGCGGGCTGATTCCACGAGTGGTGACTCAGGGCCGTGCCCCCGGTCCCAGGGCAGCGGCTGTGCCAAGGCCGCTGGGCAGCGCAGAGGAGCCCCAGTGCAAAGGGGCAGCAAGTGCCTTAGATTTTTTACAGACTTCCACCGTGGTGCCATTGGTCCCTGCGCTGTTCTCGCCCCCGGAGCTGGGCGGGCGTGACTTGCCCTGGGCGCTGGACTGGAGACAGCCCAGCACTGCGAAGGAGGCCCAGAGCGACACTGCAGATGCAGCGGCTGGGCGCTGTGCCCTGTTCCAGGAACGCTGCCCCCTCCCCCCACGTCGGTACCCATCTCTCAGGCCCCTGGTTTTCCCAGGCCTGGGGACCTCGCTTGGCTGCAACCCGGGGAAGTGCCTTTCACCCCAGCGACCTCCAGAGCTCTGTGCGAAGGCAGAGGGAGCCAGAGGGTGGATCAGCCTGGCCCGTGGCCCCCCACCCGAAAGCCAACAGCTCGGGGAACTTGACCGGCTCCAGCACATCCTGGGAACCCCCATCTCTGGCTCCTCTCCTGACCCCTCCTCCAGCCAGGATGCCCCGGGGATGGACTGGCTGCGAGGGCTGGAACGGGGCTGGGAAATTCATCTTTGGAGATTGCTCCGAGCCCAGCTCCAGGCGCTCGGCCCCCTGGGAAAGGCCAGCGGCTGCAGGCTCCCCCCGGCCCTGGACACCGGAGAAGCAGTGGCAGGACCCGAGGGCAGATGGCGCGGTGGAGCCGAGGGAGGGAGTCGAGCCCAGAGGTGAGAGCTCTGTAGCGCTGGGCCTGGCGGGGGACGTGGGCTCCCCTGGAATCACTCAGGGCTGGGCCCAGCACGCTAGGGGAGCTGAGTGCCAGTCGTGCCACAGGCAGGATGTGGCCGTGTACTGGCACAGAGAGCCCGAGGGCTGGAGGCCTCCAGCGCCCCACATCAGGGGGAGCCCCCACCTGGGAACAGGGTTGTTCTGGGCCTGTCCTGTCCGGGGTCTGTGCAGCATCCAGGGCAGGGCCAGCCGGGCTCGTGGGGCTCTGCTCCCCTGCAGCCTTTACCCAGGGCCTCAGCTCAAACTCTCCCTGTGTGCTCTGAGCTGCAGGGCACAGGCTCGGGTGACTGGGGGTGGGAAGGGGCTGCCTGCCCTGGGCGCACAGCGTTAGTACACAGTCTGGTTGGCAGTGCCAGGTCCGAGGCTCTGCGTTGCCCAAGGGTGAGCTGCATGCGCTGAGACAGGGTCCTCGGGCCGCAGCGCCCTGGGTCTCCGGGTGGTGCTCCAGAAAGCCCCCCCGTGTGCGCCGCCTGACCCCTTCTCCTGTGAGCTGCATGTGTCCCTTCCGGCTGAGCTGGGGTAGGGCCCTGGGCCCTGCATGGGGGGGAGACAACAGAACAAAGGGCAAGGCTCAGGGGGCCCTTCTGACCCCTGGCTGCAGGGTTAACCCTTTGCTGCCTGTTTGGGTTTGAGGGCCAAGACCCCCACCCAGGGGAGAGGCCGCAGGCAGCACAAGGATTGCACGTGGCCTCTGGCTGTTGTTCTTGGGGTCCCCACACCCCATCGTTTGTGTCAGTGGCAGGAGCCATGACCCATCGGTGCCCCCACACAGGCAGTGGGGGCCGGGGGCAGAGCTGGGGCCGGGGGCCGGAGGTTGGGGTTTGGGACTGAGGCCGGGGCCTGGCTGCTCTGCTACTGACTTTGTTTCCCTTGCAGTTTGCTGAGGAGCCTGCTCCGTGGCTCCCGTGCACAGGGCCTGGTGCTGGGACCGCCGGAGGCTGCCCTGGGCTGGAGGGAGCGGGCGAGGAGCCCAGGAGGGACTGGAGAGCCGCAGCCTCTGCTCATGGAGACGCCAGCAGCCCCATGCTGCTCTGGGAGAGGACATGGACTGGGCAGATGGGTCCCCGTGTGCAGCGGACGGGCCCAGGGCTGCCTGGTGCCCGCCTGCCTCGTGCTCAGGCTGTGCCGTGTTGCTCGCGAATAGCCAAGCCCCAGCGCACCAGAGAGCTGCGTGCCTCCACCTACCACTGTCTCACTGCCCCGGCTTGCCCCGGGCACGCCCTGCACGCTGCCCTGTGCCCCCATCCCTGCCTTGGGGAGATCCCACCCCTCAGCACAGGACGTACCACAGGCATCAGCCTGGCACTGTCCTCCCCGGTACCTGCGGATCTTTCCCACCCTCCCTGCCGTCTGCAGCCAGACTGCTCTGCGCACGGCCCTGGGGCCTGCTCTGCACGGCTGGGGCGGGAGCTGGCCCTGCTGCGTGGCAGGGAGGGGCTCTGTCCCTGGCGGGTTTCCCAGGCCCCTGCCTGTCTGACTCGTGGGCCCAGCTGCACCCAGATCTCTGTTGTTTGCTGTGGATTCACCTTTCTAAATAAAGGGTTGCTGGTACGAGCTGGGGCTGTCTGTGTCGGGGCTTCGTGTCCGGGGCTAGCTGTGGGGTGAGGGGGAGGGGCTGGGACTGCTGCCCTGGAGTGGGGAGAGTCACACGGGGGGGTGGCTCCGGGCAGGGGTTTCCCAGGAGCCTCAGGTTCATCACATTCCAACCCCTCATCAGAGAGGTCTCAGACCTGCCCCCCCCTCCAGCCCCACAGGGACCCCTGGCCCCTCAGCTCCGCCCCGGGGCTGAACATGCCGTGCCCTAGCAAGGGGGCCCTGCTGACCCTGACTGCCACCGCATGGCCTGGGACTGGGGGTCTGGCCGGGAGCTGGGCTCAGAGCATTGCTGGGGATCTCCAGGACCCAGCACAGCTGCTGGAGTCTGATGGGTGGGGCTGGGCTAGCAAAGGGGCAGCCAGGCTCGGTGCAGCCCCCTGCACCCTCATCTCTGATTGCTCACAGCTGGGCCGTGCGTCCCGGGGGGCTGACAGCCTCACCTCGGCTTCCCCAGCCAACCCCCGCCCTTGCAGCTGCCCCGTGTCAGTGCCGGCTGGGCTGGGTACCAGGGGGCCCTCAGGACGCTGCAGCCTGCGTTTGCTTCTTGGGGCCACAGGCTGGGCTCCCCGAGAGCTGGCGCGACTTGCCGAGGGCTCGTGCAGGCCTGGCTTTATGCACCAGCCCATCGTCGCACTGGCCTCCTCGCCCCCGGCAGCTGAGCTCACAGGAGGCCAGGGCTCCCTGCCCCACCGGCAGGACCAGAGCCGGGGAGCAGCCTGACACACACACCCCCCCCCCCCGCAGCCAGGCCCCACCACAGGGGCCTGCACCTGCTCCTGGGGAAGGCTGGCCCAGCGGGGCAGGCATAGGAAGCCCGCTGGACATCCTAGCAGAAGCACGGCGCACCGGCGGCGTTACCAAGCGCTCCCGGGCCGGCGGCATGGCTGCAGTGATGCCAAAGCAGGCCAAGCCCTGGCCAGGCCCCGTTCCCAGCCCCGCACGCCGGGACAACCCCTCTCTCCCCAGTCCCAGCAGTGCCCTGAGCATCTCCAGGTCTTTCCCCACGGCCTGGCTCAGCCCAGCGGCCCTGCTGTCTGCGTGGGGCCCCAGCTGCGGGGGTGGCTCCCGCCTGGGGCTGGCCAGGCTGCTGGGCGGGGGCGAGCCGGGCCTGTGACGTTTGCTCTGCCAGGCAGCGAGAACAAGGCTGCAGTGAGGCAGCCGGGGCAGGACGGAGCCAAGTGGCTGCGTTCCACAGGCCCAGCACTTCCTGCCCTGGCGGCTGCTGAATGGCTCCCTGTGTGCCGGGCCGGGGGGCAGGGGCAGGCCGCTGGGAGCTTGGGCACACGCTTGTGCTCCAGGAGGGGCGGGCAGGGCTGGGGGAGGGGGTGCGCAGGCCGGGCGCTGGCAGAGCTGGGGGGGGGGGAAGCTGGTGCTGTTCAGCTGGCCAAACTTACCTGCAGGAGTGCAAGGCCCCAGGGCCCACCATGTGCGTGTGTGTGTGTGTGTGTGTGTTCACATGTGTGTGTTCACACACATGTGCGGGGGGTGATGCCTGCCAGGAGGTTGTTACAGGGACAGCAATTTGCCCAGCCCCCCTTCTGTTCTGGGGGTCAGGGTGACGGCAGTGCCAGAAGTGGGATATTGGCCCAATCTAGGGGGGAGGGGAGAAGCTCCAGCCCCTCCCCCTATGAGCAATGGGTCAGTCTGCCCGACCTCTCCCCCTGTAATGCTGGACCCCATTGGAGCTCCCCAGGAATGGGGAGGGGATCCTGCTGCTACCCCCTGCGCCTGGGCGGGTGAAGAGCCGTGGGCTGCTGCAGGGGTGGGCTGGGTAATGAATTGCTGGCCTGGGGGGACTCCACTTTAACCAGTGAGGATGCCGGGGCCGGGGCCGGGGCGGGGCGGGGGGAGGGAGCTCTGCTCTTTGCGACAGCTGTGAGATCCTTGCAGGGGGCAGAGCCCCCCCGTCTGTGCATGGGGTGCGCTGGGACTGCCCCACATACAGGGCGGGTGGTTCTCTGGGCAGGGGGAAGCAGCCTGGGGGTGACACTGGGGACCCCCCTGGCAGGAGACCTGGCTTGGAGCTGCAGGAGGGAAGTGGGTGCTGGTCCTCTCAAGCGGGCGTGGGGCTCTGGACCAGGGCAAAGCGCAGGGGGCGAGTGGGCAGTGACTCTCGGCTCGGTAACCGGGGAATGGGCCTGTAGAGCGGCTGCGTGTGCCTGGCTTTACCCCGGGGGGCTGGGGAGCACTTTAAACCAATAGTTTAAACCACTGGGAGAGACTGTGACGGGGAAGCTGAGGTGGGTTGGCCTGTGCTGCTAAAGGTGGCCACAGGAGGGTGCCCATGATGGGGGTTCTCTGTAACACCCCACCCTGGGAGGTGGCCACAGTCGCTGTCCTCCAGTCCAGGAGGTCACTGGAGGATAGAACCCAGGAGTCCAGGCTCCCAGCCCCCCTGCTCTAACCACTCGACCCCACTCCCCTCCCAGAGCCGGGGAGAGAACCCAGGAGTCCTGACTCCCCGTTCCCCTGCTCTAACCACCAGTCCTCACTGCCCACCTAGGGCTGGGATTGCAGAGAAGTCCAGCGTGGGGGGCGGGAGATGCAGACTGGGATGAAAGGGACCAGAGCAGGGGCCTGTATATCCACATGCCACCGACACATCCCGGGCAGGGACTGACCCGGGTGGCCTGGATGGTCGCCTGTCCTCTCACTGCAGAACCAGCTGCCTGTCACTCAGATCTCTCTGTGCCCAGTGGCAGGAGGGTGCCCAGGTGCTGCCAGGCCTCCAGGCAGAGTGCCCCCCTCCCCCACGGCCCACCATGTCCTGCGGGTGCCTCCAGGGCCTGTGGGTGACGATCCTGCACTAGCTGTCTGAATGCCCATGTGCACTGAGGGGGCTGGGTGCACGGTGGAGCATCCCCAGCCACTGGGCTTCCCCCTCAGCTTGGCAGCTGCCTGCCCACCACAGGGGCCTGCTCGAACAGCTTCCCTCCCGCTGTGGGGCTGAGGGGGGCCTAGCTTGGAGGCTTTCCTAGGATTCTGTACTCGCTGGGGCGTGGAGCGGGGGGATTAGAGCTATAGACACACAAAGCCTCCCTGGGAAGAGGACTGGCCATGTGTGGCACAGTGCTGCTCACCCAGGGGGGAGGGCAGCTGGGCTGGACCCTGGCAGGGACACGGGGCCTGGCTCTCCCCCAGCACCTCATGGAGCTGTTTCAGCTGTTCATGGTGGCTGCAAAATGCCCCCCCAGGTGCTTAAGAGCCTTTGGTGTGTGACCTTGTCAAAGGCTTTCTGAAAATCTAAGTACACTATATCCACTGGATCCCCCTTGGCCACATGCTTGTTGACCCCCTCAAAGAATTCTAGTAGATTGGTGAGGCATGATTTCCCTTTACAAAAACCATGTTGACTCTAGGGCTGTCAATTAATCACAGTTAACTCACGCGATTAACTAAAACAAATTAACTGTGATTAAAAAAATTAGTCACGATTAATGGCACTGTTAAATAATAGAATACAAATTGAAATGTATTATATATTTTTGGATGTTTTTCTACATTTTCAAATATATTGATTTCTATTACAACACAGAATACAAAGTGTACAGTGCACACTTTATATTATTTTTTATTACAAATATTTGCACGGTAAAAATGATAAAAGAAATAGTATTTTTCAATTCACCTCATACAAGTACTCTAGGGCAATCTCTTTATCGTGAAAGTGTAACTTACAAATGTAGATTTTTTTCTACATAACTGCTCTCAAAAACAAAACATTGTAAAACTTTAGAGCCTACAAGTCCTACTTCTTGTTCAGCCAATTGCTAAGATAAACAAATTTGTTTACATTTACAGGAGATAATGCTGCCTGCTTCTTATTTACAATGTCACCTGAAAGTGAGAACAGGCGTTCGCATGGCACTTTTGTAGCCGGCGTTGCAAGGTATTTACGTGCCAGATATGCTAAACATTCATATGTCCCTTCATGCTTCGGCCTCCATTCCAGAGGACATGCTTCCATGCTGATGGTGTTCGTTAAAAAATAATGCGTTAATTAAATTTGTGACTGAACTCCTTCGGGGAGAATTGTATGTCTCCTGCTCTGTTTTACCCGCATTCTGCCATATATTTCATGTTATAGCAGTCTTGGATGATGACCCAGCACATGTCTGATTTATGAACACTGTCACTGCAGATTAGACAAAACACAAATAAGGTACCAATGTGAGATTTCTAAAAATAGCTACAGCACTCGACCCAAGGTTTAAGAATCTGAAGTGCCATCCAAAATCTGAGAGGGACGAGGTGTAGAGCATACATTTAGAAGTCTTAAAAGAGCAACACTCCGATGCAGAAACTACAGAACCTGAACCACCAAAAAAAGAAAATCAACCTTCTGCTGGTGGCATCTGACTCAGATGCTGAAAACGAACATGCGTCAGTCCACTCTGCTTTGGATTGTTATCGAGCAGAACCTGTCATCAGCATGGACACATGTCCCCTGGAATGGTGGTTGAAGCACGAAGGGACATAAGAATCTTTAGCGCATCTGGTATGTAAATATCTTGTGACGCTGGTTACAACAGTGCCATGTGAATGCCTGTTCTCACTTTCAGGTGACATTGTAAACAAGACGTGGGCAGCATTATCTCCTGCAAATTGTAACCAAACTTGTTTGTCTGAGCGATTGGCTGAAGTAGGACTGAGTGGACTTGTTGACTCTAAAGTTTTACATTGTTTTATTTTTGAATGCAGTTTTTTTTGTACATAATTCTACATTTGCAAGTTCAAGTTTCATGATAAAGAGATTGCACTACAATGCTTGTATTAGGTGAATTGAAAAATACTATTTCTTTTGTTTTACAGTGCAAATATTTGTAATAAAAGTAAATATAAAGTGAGCACTGTACACTTTGTATTCTGTGTTGTAATTGAAATCAATATATTTGAAAATGTAGAAAACATCCAAAAATATTTAAATAAATGATATTCTATTATTGTTTAACAGTGCGATTAATCGTGATTAATTTTTTTAATCATTTGACAGCCCTAGTTTCAACCAGTTTGCGTGGTACTGAAGTCAGGCTTACCGGCCTGTAATTGCTGGGATCACCTCTGGAGCCTTTTTGAAAAATTGTCGTCACATTAGCTATCCTCCAGTCATCTGGTACAGAGGCTGATTTAAGCAATAGGTTACAAACCACAGTTAGTAGTTCTGCAATTTCACATCCGAGTTGCTTCAGAACTCTTGGGTGAATCCCATCTGGTCCTGGTGGCTTATTACTGTTTAATTTATCAATTTGTTCCAAAACCTCCTCTAATGACACCTCAGTCTGGGACAGTTCCTCAGATTTGTCACCTAAAAAGAATGGCTCAGGTTTGGGAATCTCCCTCACATTCTCAGCCGTGAAGACCGATGCAAAGAATTCATTTAGTTTCTCCACAATGGCCTTGTCTTCCTAGAGTGCTCCTTTAGCATCTCAATCGTCCAGTGGTTCTTTGTCAGGCTTCCAGCTTCTGAAGTACTTAACATTTTTTTGAGTCTTTTGCTAGTTGCTCTTCAAACTCTTTGTACTTTTAAAACTATTATTAGATGTCTGGAACACAGCTAGAAAGTCCTTGCTTAGCACAGAACCCAGAAAGTTACAGCATGGCCATTCTGGTTACCCAGAGCCCCAGCCAAGCGGTGTCTACCCTTGGCTCCTGCTCCGTCCCTCTATGTTCAAATTCCCGAGCCTGTCCCAGCTGGACCCTCCTCAGCCCTTTGTCCAGCTGGTCACACCCGGCTGGCTTCCTGCAAAGGGGGGTGGGGGAGGGCTCCATGGTCCATAGCTGCTAGGTACCAAATGTGTCCCAGTGATTGGATTTGCCATTGTCTTCATGGATCCTCCATTGTCCTGGGCCCCCAAACCAGAGACAGCCAGACAGCATTCCCACCTCTGTTGTAGCCTGCCCGGCAGCCCGAGACTAAACTGCCTTTTCCCACCACCTAGTCATCCATGCAGCAACTAGGGGAAACTGAGGCACACCCAATTTTCATACAAAATAATCCATCACAACAAGCACTTACATAATTTGTCACCACTTAGTTGTCAGCCTGCATGTGAGGTAATTGAATAGGACTCTTTCTACCTTGACCTGTGGGTGGCTATTTTGCAACAGAAAAGCTTCAAAAACAGACTCCAATGAGAAACTGCTGAGCTGGAATTGATATGCAAACTAGATACAATCAACTTAGGCTTGAATAGGGACTGGGAATGGCTGAGCCATTACAAATATTGAATCTATCTCCCCTTGTAAGTATTCTCACACTTCTTATCAAACTGTCTGTACTAGGCTATCTTGATTATCACTTCAAACGTTTTTTTTCTCTTATTAATTGGCCTCTCAGAGTTGGTAAGACAACTCCCACCTTTTCATGCTCTCTGTATGTGTATATATATCTCCTCAATATATGTTCTATTCTATTCATCCAAAGAAGTGGGCTGTAGCCCACGAAAGCTTATGCTCAAATAAATTTGTTAGTCTCTAAGGTGCCACAAGTACTCCTGTTCTTTTTGTGGATACAGACTAACACGGTGTGACGATGCGGTTCTGGCGGAACCCAACTGAGAGTGCCAACTCAG